TTTGTAAACATACAATGAAGAATGTGCGAAAGATGCTAGAGCATCACAATGGTCTGATCGATAGACGAAAAAATGAAGTCACCAATATACCAACGACGGCTTGTAGTCCTCGGGACTTCTTTAATTCCGTTTAAGGTGAATAGAAAATGGCCCTGCGAATTCCCAGTCGACTGTCAAACTTTGCTATGATATACGGCGGCCAGAGGAGGAAGTAGTCGTGTATGTGGCTGAAAACAGTAGCCCTTAGGTGGATCTGATTGCTCAGTAAGCAATGAATCTGTGACTGCAGAACAAAACAGAACAGATCTGGGCACGATTCGAGGCAACATAGCTACTAAAAATATCCCTGAACCCTTTTTAAAGTCGAACACGCGCGTCAAACGATTTCTAAGCCAGACATACTCACTCAGACCCTATATCGATTTAAGCGCCTAGCAGATACTTCACGATCCAAGATACTGATTGATTGCCTACACCTACACCCCAATCAGTACCGATTTGGATATAATGTATGACTGTAGCGACTGTTAAGAAGGCAAGATTAAGCAATGGTGTCGTTCATACTGTGCGGGAAAAAGGCGTCCTAGCGTGAGTGACCAATGAGTACTCTTGGTATTGCAGCTTCATTTTTCGCAGAGAACTCCTCTGCGAAAAACGAAGCTGCAGTTTCTGAACTCGTCACTATCTTAACAGTTGAGTTGGATATGCGTGGATGATTAGAGCTCAAAGCAAAACGAGAATGTGCCAAGGGGTGTAGCAGTCAACTAGTAACTATTGGGTTGATGCATAATTATTGCGGATTTTTCTCAAAAAATCTTATTTAACAAAAACCATTAAAATATTTAACAAGGACATGCTCAAATAATTACTCCAGAACGTATCCAAGATCTACGTCAAGCAGTGCTTTCCATTTGCTAGGCAGTCGGATTCCATAGGCGAAGAAGTTTGTTTCTTGGAGCCGATCTACGCCTTGACATCGGCCACCAAGTCATCCTTTTCTTCGTAATTTTCGTTCACTAGCCAACTTTTCAACGAACGATTGACGTGATAATCCATAGAAGTTTCTGTTGGTGAATAGGGAGGATGTAGGAGCAGACTCTCTACTTTACTTGGCTTTGGCTGACTGTTCCATCGCCGAAAAGTTCATTGAGATCGCTTAATGACTCCGCCACCCTTCAACCTTTTTCTGAGTAATAGAGCATAATGTGTCGAATATGAATATGACTTCGTGGATACAATTCTGTCAAGGAAATCAACAAGATTACTTCTATAAAAGTTTCGAATCTCATATTCAAATCTGTCGAAAGAAAAGAAGCCGCGAAAAAATCTGCAATAATTATGCATCAAACTATTACTATGCCGTGGTATTAAGGAAATATAACTTGAGAGAAGATAACATGATCAGTCCACCAGTATACCAGCGAAACTGAACTGAGGTCTTAACCTCGACATAAATGATCAAGGTCTTACTAAACGTAAACTGGAAATCTGCTCACATCAGATGCCATCACTATTTTTGGTGTAATAGCGATGATAACTCTGATGCCAAATGGCTATCAGGAACCAGCCATCAGGCATCTAAAAGGGCTTCAGTTGTGATCACCAAAAAAGAGACATGAGAACTGAAAAAGGTGAAAGGAACGGTGTTGATGGTGTCACCAATGGCGTAAGTGGAATGGGGCGGTGGATAGTAAAACGAGCTGCTACCGCTAGGGCAAAGCTGACGATGATGATGGCTATGTATTGCGCAATGAGTGAAACGGATCGCACAGAAACCGGATGTCGAACTGGCCGCGGTTGATGTACTACGAAACCTGAACGAGCAATGTCCGCGCAGCTACGACAGCAGACATTTTCATGGCGCCATCGACCTTGCAGATCGCCTTGGCTTTGTGAGATCGAAATGTTTCGATTCTTCAGAGAAAGATCCTCCTTTAAGTAATTCGCTAAGTGTGTCTGTTGGTGTGTCGGTGTGGGTGTCTGACCGGAAATTCATAACTCCTGTCCCCGTGGACCTAGAAAGCTTAAATTTGGCAAGAGTACAGGGTTCAGCATGGGAACGCTTATGGCAGGTTGTAGGAACAGACTCCACCCACAGGAGGCAGGTCGTGTGCGATAGAAATTTTAAGTCGCAAATTCATAACTCCTGCTCAGACGGACCCAAAGCGTTCAAAATTGGTAGGAGTGCAGGAGGCGGCATGGGAACACTTATGATGGGTGGCGGACCGGACTCCATG